TTTTTTTTTTTTTTTTTTTTTGAAAAAAACTGTTGCCCTCCGAGAGCAAATATCTTTTAGGGAGTCTCAGGTTTGAACGTTATAGTTTTTCTAATGACATGAGATGGATTTGGACACACCTCTGCTGCATTCTAATGTGAGAGGACTGGTCTGATGCTCCTTTGCCGTCCAAAAGTATCTGTTGTGCTACTGTTCATTGGACATTGTTCCCTGCTGGTGCGAAAGGTAGTTATGACAAAGGGATTATACCTTTCATCTGTCATACCTAATCCTTCTATAGGATTCTCTTTATAAATCTTTTTAGAATGCAACTAAAACTTGGGTCAGCTTTGACTCATCAAATATCTGTTTTGGCTCTTTTTCCACGTCATTAAATATACTGCCAAAAGTCTCAGTAGATTTTGGCAAGTTATTCTTTAGTTGTATGAAGTATGGGTCTGGGATTTTAACTCAAAATAAACGTGCAATAGTAAAAAAGATTCAATGAAGTTCAACAAAACTACCCGCATTTTGGTTCACACCTGACAATACTCAAAGAGTGTAAAGTGTTAGTACTGCAATGTGTTTTAACCAAGAATGAAAACTGTAAGCTATGTCAAGCATTTTGTAAGGATGCCCCTTTGTGGTGGTTACTGACTGTTGACACTGATTTACAAAAGCTGCAGGGATCTAGTATCCAAAAATTATTTGTTAAAAAAGTAGTTTAAAAGGAGGTAAAAGTCAAGAGTGGAAATATTTCAAATAACACTCGGTCAGTTTATAAGGATCTGCCATTTCTTTCTTTTACGGAAACTGGTTATAAATTTATTTAAGTCGTCTGAGATTTCTTGTTGAAATAGGAGGCGCAGAAGCCGCTACAAAGCTTTTCAACCAAATTACACTTTTAACATTTTAATAATTTAAAAAAGACTAATTCTAAATTAAAAAATTACTAGAAACTATTTTCGCTTGCTTTGAATAATTCACTTTTCTTACAAACCAGCAGTTTAAAATTTCTAAAAAAGTAGTAATCAGCACTTGAGTGTTCTGAGAAATAAAGGAGAAAAAGTACGTTTTCTATATTTGGATTTTTACTCACAATAGCCAAAGCATTTGGTCTGGCGTTTTTATGTAAAAGCAGCAATTTTTTTTTTACAAAACCAGGGTTTTTAAAATTTTTATTTTGCTTTAATTCTTCCTTTTGCAGTGAGACTTTCAAAATATTCTCTCATATGGCTTTACCAAACCTGCCTTAAAAAATTCGGCTTTGTTATCCTAATAGGAAGCAGATTCAAATGCACTTGATGTCAAGCTTTTCTTGGTTAGATGAAGCACCAATTTTTTATGGCAAATAAAATTTGATTTAAAATTGACCAATTCTGAGCAGAAAGAATGACTTTGCAGTTCTAGACAAATGATGTCTACTTGCTTTCAATGAGTTCTCTGGACTCAATTAGCAGTTGTGCCACCCTCTTTGTCCTCTTTACTGCATACAAATTTTAAATAATAGTTGCCGCAACTTCTTTAAAGGCGAGGTATTAGCGACTCTTCCCGGCCTCATTTCCAAATTTGTTTCCTAAATGCTGTTTTTCGAGTTGAGGCGGTCCGCCTTGAAAATGCTTACTTTGTAACTGTCTATTTCTATTTTTAAACTTCTCGAGCCACTCTTGCAATCAATCCTCCTCGAACACTTCATCGATTTCTCAAGTAAACCACTTTTCTTCCAGAGATGAAGAAAAGCAGCTTGCCTGCATATGAAATAAGCAATTGAAAAACAAGTACGAATGCAAAAAAACAGCAGAAATTTGGTGAGGGAGAATAGACACTGAAAAAGATGTACCAGAAGCCACATTTTTCCAGATTTTTTTCTGACTTTGAGAATTTCAAAAAGGAGGGAATTACGCTGTAAATGACAAGAACTAATCCACTGATCACACTATATTCACACTATAAAAAATCCAGATGCGGTGAACAGTCAATATTTATTCCGTTATCTTTCTGTTGCCACTTAAGAGAACTTACATCATAAAAGGTGTAACTTATGCAAAACAAAAAAAAAAAAAGCTACAAGAAGATACAAAACCATTTCTTCTCTCGTGAGAAGTTATAGAAGGTGCTTCAATATGCTGACTGTAACTTGCACTGAAGAAATTGCGGCAGGACAATAATGCAGAATGGGATTTCCTCGGAAAGTATTTCCTTTAAAGGTGTTCCTCGCGGTTGACAGAACAGCAGTACAGCTTGATATGCTGTAATTCTCTTTAGTACATCGAGTAGGAATTGAAAAAGTGTTTTAAAAGACCAAACACAGTGCCTACGTGTATGTACCAACATATTTGCAAGTGCTCCACTTACCCAAGATTCGCTCGTAAACATTTTGATTAATTACACGTTTTAGTAACTTTTCAAAAAATCGCAGAAACAATTTTAATATACTTATTCAGAAATCATTAAATAAGTAATTCTGAATCATTTCTTGTTGTTGATTCTATATTCAAAGTCAATGAGTTAGCAAAAACAAGACTTTTGTCTGCTAATTTGAGGAAACTTTACTCTTCTCCTACCAAATTACAACTAAGACAGAATCTAGAACATAACAGTAAGTGTCTCCACAAAAAATTAATAATATCAATTAAGGATAAATTTGACTACAAATGTGTTTCTTGTAAAGCCGGTAGAAGTTTTTTAATCATAACCTTTCGACCACAATATTTGACTATCAAGGCGGAAATTTTAATTAATTTTCTTGTTCATATGCCTTACTCGACCGAATTTACTAATAAGTAATTAAATGCTAAGTTGCTGCATCACCAGTTGCTTAGCTGTTGTTAGGTAAAAGATACTGAGATGAAAGTACCAGATTATAGATGTCTTCAAGGTAGAGGTGCAAGAAAATGTCAGTTCTACAATATTAGCTATCAGTTGCTATTTTGAACATATTGCTTATAAGTTTGAGTTTGTACATTACAAAAAACTAAAAAAAAGTGCCACATTTTCGCATAATCAAGAAAAAGTTTTCTCAAAATGTGTTTGAATGGCTTTCTCAAAGAAAAGTTTTTTATCTTAATTATTACTTTACTTCACACCCTTCAGAAGCAACTTTTATATGAGAACTGTATTTTACAACAGATTCCTGAAAAATATTCCAGTTGGAGTTGGTCATGTCTAATGTCTGATATTTAACAAATTTCAACTAAGAAGTTGGTAACGTTTATCGGGAACGTTTAACACTAAAACAACAAGAATGAAATCACAAGCCTATAACGATCAAGCTTGAGTTAAAAAAAAATACTTTTTTGACTCGTTGTGCAACAATTATTTCATTCAAACTTCTTTTTCAGTTCGCAGTTAATTTTTTCATATTTTTTATAACGCTAAAAGTAGCACTGGTAACACCTCTGAAGAGAACGGAGTATCCTAATATATGTAAAACCCTTTTATCAGAAATGACAGAAAACAAATTGTCAAAAATAGAACAAAAATTAAAAAAAAATTGGTAAGTAATAAGCAATAACTGCCTCACGATTTCGAACATTTTAGTAAGACAAAAAGTTGTCACACAGAAGCATATGAGATAATGACACCTCTTGAGGTGTAACTTTCTTTGTGATATAAAAATAATATACATAAAGAACTATAAAAAAGCAACTATTATAGATACCTACGTCAGAATTTTGACTTATTTCTGTAAAAAGACTTTATAGTCCTTCAAAATTTTGAAAAAAAGCTGAGGATTTTGTTACCGACCAATAATAACTTTTATTATCACTTTAGTTGATGATTAAACAGAATGTTGGTAATTTATCCGCTTTCTGCTTCTTTGCATCTCAAAATATGTGTCTCACACGGCGCTTAACAAACAGGTAATTTTAGGGTCTTTAATATTTGGTATATTACTAATAGTTAAAACTTTTCTGCTACTGACGAATTTCAAGACAGACACCAATTACTTCAGAGTAAACTTTAGACAGCTCAGAAATTCTACAATCTAAATAAACAACGTTAAGTTTACGTTTAACAAATGTCTTTTTTCTGTTTCTGGCAACATTTAGCTTAAAACCAGTTTTTTAACGTAAACGTTAAATTAACTAACAGTAAAAAATTTAGAAACTGGTATTCTGTTGCGACTGTATAAATGTTGTAAAAATTTTAGCACTGATCTGTCAATGTTATATACAATATCCGGTTCAAACACTTATGTAAATTGTTTGCGTAGCACCTACAAACTAAGAGAATCGTGACGTTTTAAACAAGAGTTTTCAATAAACGAAAATTAAGGCAACAGCGTTAAGTTTACTGCAATAAAACTGATGAATCTTTTTTTCTGTAGACAAAAAACACTTTTGTGGTAAATTACAGTACCGGTGTTATAAGTCTGAAAAACGTACTTAGTGCTTACTACCCCTCCCTTTTTTTTTATTTTTTCTAACCAACACCTCTATAGTGTTTTTATAAAAATA